GCCTGGCTGAGGATGCTTGAGGTGCCAGTGGCAGTGATGGTCCCAGCCTGGTACGGGCAGGGGCTGGCAATGCTCTCTCTTGCTTGGAGCAGCACCAGGGCTGTGCACTAGTGCTCTGCCTGCACCAGGGCTGGGACACCATGGATCGGCATTTTTTGAAGGAGGTGAGACATCTGAGAGTGGCAGTGCATTCCCTGAATACCCTGCAGTCTCTCATCCACAGGTTTGACAGCAATGCCTCTCTACTGATGTCTGTGGAGCTTCTCCAGCTTTGCAGAAGTGCAAAGACGAGTTCAGTTAAACGTACTACATTCAAGGCCAAGAGGCTGGGTTAGATTTACCTGACCAGGGCAGGTGAAAGCTGAGGTAGATTAGAAAAAAAAATCTGTCCTCTCACAAATCACCCCCAGCCTGTGCTAGGGCAGGGGGCAGATGGAGCCCGATGTTCCCAACACTTTCCTGAAGGACCAGACTGGCCCAAGTGATACTGAGATTGGCTTGTGCATGGAAGTCTTGTCCACATTTCTGTCTACAGGTGGCAGAAGACGCTGCTGGGGTCAAGGATAAATGAAACATCTTGGTTTTTCTAAACCAAGAATAGCTTTTGGGGCAATCCATGCTACCTTATACCCTCCCTGAGCAGGTCTGACACACTGAATCCCCCCCCAAATGGCAGTTGCATCCATTTAGCTGCCGCCTTTGATTCCAAGTGTCATTGAATGTGGTCTCCCTAATTTTCTGTGTGATAGCTACCATTTTATTTTCTTCTAGACTGTGCAATTTCCAACAAAACTGGAGTTAGCACAAACCAGACCTGTGTTTGTTTTTCAAAGCAAATCTAATTACTCTTCTTACTGGAATTGCCTTTTGTTCAAGGCACTGGATTGAGATACAGAAAACAAGTTGCAGGCAGATGCTAATCATTTTACATGTAAATTACTAACATTTCTTTTACAAATATTTCATGCAGGTTTTTAGTTTAACAATTAAAAAAAGATCTGCTTTTTCAAACTGCTTTCAGTAACATCTATAGACATTTAACAAAATGCCTCAGGCTCTAAATCTCCAAATAGTAAACAAATGTATTTATTTACTTTGTATGCAAAAATAATTGAGTCAAAGACACATACTTCACATGAAGATAAAACCAGACAGATTTCCTTTTTTTTTTTTTCTCCAAATCACAAGCATACTTTTTAATGAGGAGAACTGGTGGATTTTCTGAGTGAACTGAGTCCATGATGGTGCTGACAGGAGACCGAGAGCTCTATGGAGTTTGTACAGAAGAGAGAGTCACGATTTATTTCTTTGTTTAAAGACTGAAAAAAGACCAGTGGCTAAAAGATGAAGCCATCTGTTCTCTCACTGTCTTGTACCTGGTCATGCTATTTCTGTCAAGGAGAGAGTTGGGATAATAATTGAGTGGGGTTCATTATAAGCCTGTTTCAAAAGGTCCCTGCACCAAGTGAGAGAACAAAGTGGGTGCTCCTGACCCCAGGGCTTACCATACGGTTACCTCTGGAGGAGGATGTCCCTAAGTCCCATCAGAAGCATGTGGGGGACGCTGCCTGAGATCTTTTTGCTGTTTTTGCCCACTCTGTATCTGTGGGATGAGGAGAAAGTATTGGGCTCCAGGTCTGCCCACCTAGCACATTTCATCAACACTGCATTCATACTAAAAAACCAACCACAGAAAAAAAGCTTGCATGCCCCAGAGATCTGGCCAATAGCTCAGTGGTTTTCCAAAAATACCTTCAGTTATCTCAGATTTCAGTCTGTGCAGCAGTGGCTGCTAAGAACTGCTTTATTAGTGCGAAGCCTGTTAAACTCACCTGCACTTTCCTCTTCCTTCCCAGCTCTTCTCAGCCCAAGACAACTGAAACAGCAGTTCCCACCTGATTTCACTTAATCACCACAATTTTGACAGTAAAGCTTGTAGAGAGGTTCTGCCACTAATAACCCAAGAGCCTTTTGTTATTGGTTACCCCAAAGCCATCAGCAAGAGGCAAGTGCAGAAACTAAGTGACATGATGTAGCTGAAGGCTTGGCATTGGCCACCAAGAAGATATCAATGAAGAAAAACACAAGGGTTTGCACGTTAAATAGATTTAGAGGACACTCCAAATACCCCCAGGTGGTGCTCAGGAGAGTGGCCTGTGTCCTGCTTGTATGTCCCATCTCCTTTCTGGTCAACTGGGTTTTCCTCCTCCATCTGCTTGCTCTTGGTGTCACATCTGCATGTGGTAGTGTCCACACCAAAGCTTTTGGGTGCTCAAACCTGTGAAGACCCTGTGGCATGTCAATTCGGTGGTAGGATGAATTGCATCCTGGTGTATGTTTCTCCCTACGTGGCACAGTGGGACCCTAGCCGTTGCCGAAGAGATGATACACATAAGTAGAGGGATAATAATAATGAATAAAAATGGCATTATTTAACTAGAACTTAGCTGTCAAATCCGTGGGTTTTCTAAACTGCCAAATGGACAGAGCCGGGGTGTTTCTTGGTGGCGTTGCCATGGTTAATGTCCTGAAGTGCTATTTCAACTGAATCGCGGGGGATGAGGAATCAACCAGCCAACTCACAAAAACAATGGGACAGGTTGGTTTGCTTGTGGGGGAGCTTAAACATTTAAAGGTAATCACTATTTTTCTTCATTTTTCTTAAATCTTCAATAGGTTGGTGTCTTTAAATACATTTGCTTTAAAATAATATAATACTTTTTCTGCTTTATTGGTACAAGTGGATGTACAGTATGGCATCTGCTTTTATGAACTACTGCTGCATGTCAAAATATTTTCCTGCGGTAATTTTAAAATAGATTATTTGAAAACTTGATTTTCAATAACTTCCCAGTAAAATCTAGATTTTTTTTTTCTTTCTGAAACAACATTTTCAAAGTGCATTAGCTTTTATATTTCTTCTTCATTAAAAATAAAAAAATCAGTCTTTGTTCCACGCTGAAATTAAAACAGACATTGAAGGTGCAGGTATCTCATGCACAGTAAATTCCATGTTTTGGTCAAGTCAGTAGCTATCCTTCACAGCCTACCAAATTTTCAGTCCCCCTAAAGGGAATTTTCTTGATAAGCTTTTTTTTAATGGGGTAACCAAGGCATGGGAAAGGGGACTGAGTTGTCCAGTTTGCTTTTAGAGATGTTCTCCATCGCAGGTTTGCTGCCTGGCTGGGCCTGATGCCAAGGAGAGCCCCCAAGTGCACCGGTGGGTTGCAGGCAGCTGCTGCAAACTGCCCAGCTCCCCAGCCAGCTGGGAGGCAAGACAAAGCCTGGAGATAAAGAGCAGACTTAAGGAGTGCTTAAACACTGATCTTTTGGGAAGCTACTTCAAACACTGTTTTATAGTGCTCTAAGTCATCTAGATCTCTCTTAACTTCTTTCACTCTCTTCCTAAAATATTTATTTCTCCAGCAAGGAAGACTCCCTCAGATAGGGGAAAAATGACCCATTGGGCTGATGGTGTTTTTGTCTGTGTGGCACTAATGATTGATGCAAACTTCACGTGTGCAAGCACAGCCCTGTGCTTTCTGCTGTGCTTTATCTTCTGTGGCTTCAAGCTTGCCTGGCTCTGTAGCTCTGTTGCACGCTGGATTTATTGTCAGACCAGCAATGCTTTATATAACCCCCAAAGCACTTGGGAATACATACCTCAGTGTTGCTGAATGTTCAAAATGTTCACTCTTAAATGAAGTCTGCAGTAAATATGTAGCATTGCTCCAGATGCTTTGCTCAGATGTTGGTCACGGGGTTTCCATTAGCAAGGTTGGAGAAGCTCCCGAAGACTTCTGAGGGGCAAGGGCTTGGGTGAGAGCATCGCTCACCTGTAGCAGCACCTGCCTTCACTCATGGGGCTCTGAAATGCTTTGTCTGGGTCCTAGAAAAAGGGATTTACTGTTGTTAAAACAGTTTTTCTTCAGAAAATGCATATTCATGGTGACTGGAGCTCTTTTTGCAAAAATGTCATAGTTTTAAGGAACCCAGTGAGAGAATTTGTTTGGCTAGGATGAGTTTTCTGCTCAGAATCAAAGACTGGGGAAACAAACAACTCAACAACAACCACATCTGCCTCAGTGAAGGTTTGGAAGCCCACTGCCAGAGAGTCCCCTGGCCAGCCAGCTCTTTTAAAAGAGGCTTAATATTTCCCTGGCATTAAAAAAATCTTGAAAAGTTGCTGGGACATGAGAGGTTTTGGTCCATAGCTGCATGTAGTTTCCTCCTTGAGACTTTATGCAAAGCCAGCGCAAGTGGCAAAGGCACAGCCACCCCCATGGCCGGCGCAGGCTCAGGGGATGTCTCAGACAGGCCCATGTGTCCTCTGTTCCTGGGCAGGCATGGGACCACATGAAGAAATACTTGTGTCAGAAATCTTTAAAATTACTTCTTTCTCTTTATTGAAAGATTTCCAGGCTTTGTGCCAGCATTTTCTCCCATCGCTTTTGAAAATAAATAAATTGTTTACTTACTTTTGTACTCCCATTTCTCCAAATCCACTTAAATGCCCCTGATAAACTGCCTTTTGCCCATAAGAATTTGAAGAAGCCTCAATATCTTAGACAACGACCATTGCACGTTTCTTGCCTATCACAGGGAAGGTAAGAGCAAAGCCAGGGGAAGGAGCAGAAGGTGAGCAGCAAGGCTGCCTCTGTGCTTCTCAGCTCTCTCTTTTTTCCTTTTTGCTTAGTATTTCAGCCTAAATAATGACAAATTCCTGACTTTTCCTGCGTATTTTTCAAGCCCATTCACTGCCGGCTGTTTTTCAAACCACAGTTCTGCCAGGGAGAGCCTTCCCTTTGAGTGGGGAGTTTGCTGGATGTGTATTATTGCTGGGAGCTGGTATTGCTGATGCCCGTTGTTTTCTGTTGTTAAACTAACTGCAATGTGTGACCGTCGTGTATCACTCAGTGATGCTTAATTTTGGAGATCAGCGATTAATTCCTTCTATTGCTTTTTCTTCTCTCGCTCTCTCTCTCTCTCTCTCACTGCAGGATGTTTTCACACCAGAGTGCAAATTCAAGGAATCTGTCTTTGAAAACTACTACGTTATTTATTCTTCCACGCTCTACCGGCAGCAAGAATCCGGCCGAGCGTGGTTCCTGGGACTCAATAAAGAAGGTCAAATTATGAAGGGAAATCGAGTGAAAAAAACCAAACCCTCATCACATTTTGTACCCAAACCCATTGAAGGTATGGAATCTGCCTGTTTGCTTCATCAGTGGGGTATGGGGGTGGGGGGGTTGCGACTGCAGATTTGTGGCTCTCTGGATGGGGGTGTTGGGCTGCAAGCCCAGAAAGCAAGGACAGTGTTTGTAACATTTCAGGAAGGTGCTGGGCTGCACTGTTATCATTTAATCTGCTTTCCTTCCCATACAATAAACTTTACACATCATGCCAAAGGGGTTTCTCAGCTTTGGTTTGCTAAAGGATGAATTTAAAAGCCCACCAACATGAGAAGTTACTGGGAAAGGAAAGCAGCCCTTGAACAGCCAGCAGTTCAAAAGGAATCCAAGCCAGCAGTGACCATAATGTGGGGGTCTCTGTGATGATTTTCCCCACTTATTCAGTGGGTTTCCAGTCCCATGTAGAGATAGTAGAGATAGGATTTATCTCACCTGATTTTAGACTTTGAGACTCTGTTTATAGTAACAGGAGATAAATGGGTCCTTCCAGCATAGCTGTGGATGTACTTTGTATGTCTACCCTAAGATGACTTAAATCTGCTTTTTTCTCATTTGTAAAGACATCCTAGTTAGTCACTGGGGGTAGAGAAACCTCTACCATAGGTGTCCAAAGTTAGATGAGATGCTCTCGTGCCATATGTCTTCATCACAGCGTGAGTGAAAGTCCTAGAGTTGAAGTTTTGCCCTCCTGCTGCTGACTACATTACCGAAGTTTGCCACAAGCTTGTGCCAGGGCGTTTTGCTTTTTTATGAGCTGGCCCCTGATAATGGAGAAGTGTAGTGTGATAAGCCTAGTACTTAACAGGTGCTAGAGTGATTTTGGAAACAAGGAGACCTCTTTTATCCCGTGTCTTAGAAAAAGCCCTACTTTTTGATCCCCAAACTAGGTACCCCTTTCTGACCCCATCTTGGACCTGCCAGCGGCCACCTCAGGGATGCAGAAGCCTGGGGCTGGCCTCAGCTGCACAGCTCCATGCCCCCTCTTGTTACCCCCACGTTGGCTGTGGGGCAGGGCTGGACACGTGGGGGGAAGGAATGAAATGATGCTTTCCTGACAGGTAGCACTCACAAGTGGTGGAAGCCACAGCTAAGTCCATGCAGGAGTAGCTGTCCTAACAGGTTCCCAGCTAAGGCACAGGGGCAGATGAGCGTGCATGTGTGAATTCAGGAAGGCAGGCTGAAATCATCTCTTGGACCACTGAAGCAAAGCATGATGGGAGAAATTCAACTCAGCATTCCCCGAGTGTCTGTGGCCTCCGCACAGGAGATGGAGACGTTGGAAGAGCAGAGAACGGCTTGGAGCCTCTTGTCCTATGCTTGTTTTCAACAGCTTTTCTGCAGCCAGGAGCCTTCTCTTGTTTATCTATCTGAGGCATTAGTGGGATTGGTGCCCTAAGCCCTCATTGCCTTTTGCTAAGGAACGGGGCCTGCTTCAGGCATGGGGTTGGTCACCAGCTCTCTTCTGTCTCCTCCTCTTCTGCCTTGGCTGGGAGGAGAGCCTTCTGCAAGCACTAGCTTTCACAGCTGGGTTTCCAGCTCCTTCTGGTATTTCTTTGCTGCCTGGCTGGGTGTTGGCACTGATCAGTGGGTTCCTTTGAATCCAGGCTTCTTTTTTGATGTAGCGTGCATGGCATCTGCTGAATGGCTCAATAGTTGTCTTCTGCATGCATTAAACTAGGCCATTCCTGTGGCTCTCCTAGTGGAAAGCCTTACCTTAATAGAGGTGCCTGACCCACAGCGGAGTTCTCATTGCAGCAAATGCCACTCTGGCTTTCATTTTGAAAAAGCCAGCCCAGCCCAAGAGCTTCCCTTTCCTGCAGTTGCATCCTCCCACGCTTGCCTCAATCACAGCTGTCACATAACCTCCTGAGCGAGTGAGCGCTTTGGAAGTTGGCAGCCAAATTAAGGGCTCCTCCACCCCTTCCCTCCTCCACATGCTTTGCAGTCAGCCTCTGTGAGCGCTGCTGCATCAAAGAGCTGGCAGGCTCCCAAGCCGAGGCACGTGTCAGCTTCCCAAAGCTTTCAGCTGTCTGGGACTGTGACTCCAGACGGAGGACTCTGTTCCCAAGACTAAGATTCATTGTAGGTAGCAGCGGCTTGTGGGGAGGGTTGGAGTAAAATGTGCTCAGCTCCACGTGACTTCTCTGTGCTGCATCCATCAAAGTCTCCACAAGCAGAGCTTGCAAGCAGAGATGTTACAGAAAAGGGGCAATTCCTTCCCTGTTTGTTTTAACAGCTTCTTTCTCTTTGTCATGACTCTAAGGAAGTATTCAAAGCAGTCCCCTCCTATATTTGCGTGTCCCTTCTGCTAAATGCTGTGGCATGCTCCAGCATGTGGGCTTTGCTGCTTATTCAGGCCAGTACTTTGCAGCTTCCATCTGCAGTAACGCACCCAGGTTTCCTTTTGCTCCGGTACCACTGCCAGTGTTAGCCCTGCCACGTGATGGCTGACACAGTAATGTATGCAAGGAGGGATGTGGTCCCCTGGGAAGGAGAGGTGTTACATCATTGCTAGGAATCACTTCACCCACCACTTCAGTGGCAATTATCTCTGAGATGAAACTTCCCAGTTGTTTGCCGTGTGCAGAAAAAATTATGCAGCAGCTTAGGGAAGAGAGCGTTCGCAGGGAAAGGCAACACAAAAAAGCCCAGATTGCTCTGGGAACTCATTGGACTCCCGTTGCTTCATACTGCTTTCTGAATTCAGAATTCCTCAAAGTTGCAAATGGGCTGTAAACTAACAAACACAAAATATCCTCCCAGATAATCTCTGAGGATTACATGTATGTACACATGCGCATACATACAGTGTTATATGTATACCTATGTGTGTTAGCTATGGATTTTAGCAGCTACAGCTTTTTGCTAATCCCACAGAGCGTATGGACTCCTCTAGATTGTCAGGATGCTGGAGGTGTTCTGTGTGGAAGTCACTAGATAGCAACTGGAAAAGTTTGGGGGGTTTGGTTGCTAGGAGGGGGTTTTTGGTTTAGTGTAGGTAGGATTTGTTTGTTTTTGGAAGTAGCATTAAGCTTGATCAATATGAAAGCACAGAAAACTTACTAAGTAATAACAGGGGAAACGTTAAGTTCCTCTCCCATCTGTGCGCAGGCAAAGCCAAGGCAAACAGCCTGCCAGGCAGCAGTTTACTGTGTGGTGCCAGTTTTGGTTAAAAACACACATACGCCACACATTTTTTTTGATATTTTTATTTCTGATCACGGATCATTCAAGTTAAATGAGCCCTTAAAGTGCAGACATATAGATTGAACCAGACTGCACAAGAAATTAGCTTGAGTGTAATTGTCACTTGGACACCAAGCAATCTTTTATGGCAATTTCAGTCCCTTTTAAGTGTCTGTAGTGATTAGTGCTGGACAAACACTACTGTCCACAGCGCCTCTTGTTCTTTTAAATATCCAAGCTCATCGCAAACAATGGGAGACTTTTCCAGTCACTTAAATGAGAATTTTATCAGATGCTTATTGGGGATGTGCTCTGTTATTTGTATTTCCTTCTCCCTGAAGACATAATTTGCAGATTGCTCTTCCAGAAGAGCTACATTTCGTCTCTGACCCGGCCCAAGCCAGAATGCATTTGGGGTGGCAAATCTGGCCACAGAAAGCAGAAGACAACTCTTCCTCCATCTGAGTCAGCAGACCTGCCCCTAACTCCAGACTCAAGGTGCTTCAGCCCTCGTGACATGAACACATCAGATATGATGTGAAGGTGGCCTGTTAATGACTAGTCTGATCCATTTATTACCACTGATGAATATCGGTGTGCAAGGAAAAGCAGCCAGATCTTCCCCAGCATGTTTTCCCAGGGATGCAATATCCCAGTTTTGTTAAAGCAGAGCCCTCAGGTGTTGCAAAGAAGTCGAGTAGGAAGATGTGGTAGGCCTAGTAAAAATGCTTCAGAAGTATCGCCTTAACCCCCAAAACATCCTAAAAAGTGTTCTTGTAAAAAAAAAATACAAATCCCACAGTCTTTATCAGTCTTGGTTAACACAGCTCCTCTTTTGGGTCTGTCTTTCAAGTGGGCAGGCTTGGTATGTTTTCAATCCCAAACTAACTCACTTGTTCAGCTATCAAACTCCTAATCATCTTATTAGATGGCAACTGCAATGTATTATTTTAACCATGCCTTTGCTTGGCTTTTTTTGTCATCCCGTGCTGTATGTCTTTCTTACCTGAAGAAACTGTGATTCCATCTGGCAGCATCCTGCACGTTTAGCCAACAACCAGACGTGAGCTCAAATGCTTCTGAAATGCATCAGCTGGGACCGGGTTTAGAACCTGAGTGATTAGAGGCAGAAAACAAGGGTGCATAATCACTTGCTCCCTCCTGCCCCTAGCTGCTGCTCAGACAATTAATTCTCTCCACCGAAGCATTAGCTAACACAGCCACTCCTGCACATAGTGACACCCTGAGCTGTGGCATCTGTCAGGGGAAAGAGCCCATCTCCCGGGCTGCCTGCCAGAGGATGTGTGCCCTGCCCAGACCCCGGTCCAGGCTGCCGCCGGGGCACGCTGTGATCCTGCCGGGCTAATGACCTGCCTACCTGCTAAACAGCAACTTGGGAAAAATCGGATTCCTCCTAACTCACTGGGGTCTGGGACAGGGAAAGGCAGGAGTGCAGCTGGATGGATGGGATATATCTAAGGTCCTTTAATAAGCTTTCCCCCGTGTTCTGGAGGAAGGAAATGGAGTTCATTGCACCTCCTAAGTCCCCTCAACTTGCAGCGATGCCGAGTGAGAAATGCTAGGATCAGGACTCAAAATGGTGCGTGCTTCCCAAACTCAGGCAGTCCCTGACGCCCAGGGAAGCCGCAGAGGGTGATTTCGGTTTCACCGTGTGGGTGGTGTGCCAGCGCCGTGCCTGGGAAGCAGAAATGAGGCTGGGATCCTGTGCCAGCGCACAGGCGAGAGATGGAGCTGTTCCTGGGTGACAGGCAGCCCCCTCTGTGCCTTCGCCTTCGGGAAGGATGCTCCCCGCCGCCTCCTTCCCTCTTGCTTGTACCTCCCGTCTCCTTCTTGCCTCATTTGCAAGTTGTTTCTTTGTGCAAAATTGTCTGCTTGTGCGTGCAAATGGCAGGCGCTGCCGGTTAGCAGGGAAGCAGGGAATCAAAAGCCGCAAGAACCAGACATCAGCACAGGTCTGCTGCCACTCACCCCCTTCCATTTATGCCTGTGGCTCTTCAGCAGATCAAGCTAACGGCACTTTCCAATTAAAGCATGAATATGGATGTGTTGATTAGAATCTGGGACATAGGAGCTGATTATCTGATTGAAGCTCCAAAGCATTAGCTTGGTTTCCAGACATTAAGGGCTGTATTTGGCTTGGGGTGTGGGTGTGGGTGCGTGGGAGAAGCAAGGCAAAGCAGGGAAGAGACTCTTGTTCCAGCCAAATTGCTCATCCTTCCAAAGCTGCCTTGTGCTGGGTGCACCAGCAGGCCTCCCAAGCGCCTAGGCCTGCCGACTGTCACCCTGCTGCAAGTTTACCTTGACGCAGGTGGCAGGGACAGCGTGTCTCCATGCACATGTGCGCACACAGGACCCCCCCAGTGAGTGCTGGTCCTGGAAGATCTGGGCACTCACAACAGTCCATTTGCAAACACCCTGCCTCCCCGGTCTGTGGTGAACATCTCCACGTGTGAGTCACGCTCATGCTTCCTTGGTACAAGGAGCAACAAACTGCAATCCAAGAGTTTGTGTTGCACAACATGTCACACTGTCCTTAAAACCCCACGCGTGTGCAGCTGTGTGCCTATACACCTGCGTGTCTGTGTGCACACACACCTACCTGTGTGCTGTGTTGCTGTCCTATGCTGCTCCAGATTTTTTGGCACGATCTGTTGGCACAGCCTGTCTGGTACAGAGGCTTTGACAGCTCTGTCTGAAAAGCACAATGTGAGCAGCCTCCAGCCATGCCCCATGTCTGTGCTTGTATCATGCACTAGACTGGAAGATAAGCCTGCCCTATTTGCTTGTTAGGTGCAGGGTTCCCTTAATTTTTAGCTGCAAATGTTGTTTACTTCTGTAGCCTTATTTATATTCATTACTCTGTGGGCCTTGTTAGCAGCTCAACGTTTTTGCCCAAAGGCCATGGTGAGAGGCAGGGAGCTGAAGAAAGGCAACCTGCCATGCTACTGCTGCTGTGGGCTTTGCTTAGGCTCAGCTCTTGTGGTTAAACATCTGACCCAGCCCAATGGGGTACTGGGGATGGATGCAGGTAAGATGAGCTTAGTGTGTGCAGCTGCCTGGGAAAAATGCTCGTGGCGGTCCCTCTGGCCTCAGCTTGGGACCAGAGAGGTCAGGGTGAAGACAACACTGCACTTGAGGCAGAACTTTGTGTATGGGATGTCAGGGGCACGGGGCAATGCTGGCAGAAATACCCAGCTCTGCTGGGCAAACATCCCATCAGAGGATAAGGTCGGTCACAGAAGTGATGCGCATCCTTGGTGTCATCAAAAGGCTCTGCAACCCAGGCTAAGAAATCACAAAGGCACAGGTTTTCCTCAGGTAACCTTTTCATAGTGTTCTTCAAGATTTTGTTAGGTACTTCACCACAACAGGCAAATTCACCATCACCAGGTTGTTGAGTGACGTGCACCGAGGTGTGCGGGGCAGCTCAGCAGCTGAAAGGGGATGGGACATCTCTTTTCCTTCTGTTGCCACCATGCAGCACCCAGGCAGCACTGCTCTCTGGGCAGCCGATGGGCTCTCCTGGCATTGCTCATCCTGGCCCAGACCCATGGGACAAGACATTAATTGTCTCTTTTTTTCCTCATTTTCATCAAAAGATGGCTCCAGTAGCAATAACTGTTTGCAGAGCAGTACCTGCCTTGCAGCCACGCTGGGAGGCCCAGCTAGTGAGTGTGTGTGTTTAAGCTGCTTTAAAAGCCTTGCATGAAAAATGCTCTGTGGGAAAAGTAATATTTTTTCACTGCTCATATATTCAATGCAATATCCCTCCTATTAATACACAGTTGACTGCACTTTATCTCTGTCCTGTATGGTTGCACACTGCTGTAACTGTTTATCTAGCTAGGAGTAAAATGCAGAGCAATAATGTCATTTGCAGCCTGCCTCTAATTGCCAGGATTTATTTGCAAATCAGGGGAGGTTATAAATATAAGCACTTACACCGCCTTTATATACATGAGGTATTTTTTTTATTTCTTCAGATAATTTTTAAATTTTGTTCTTGTTGATTACCTGGAACTAAAACCCGATGGACTCTATCCCCTGTGTTTAAGCTCTGTGCCATTGCTTGTGATATGACAGCTTTACAAAACGAAGCAGTACGCAGTCATTTCTTTCTATCCTCATTTTTGCAAAGATCCGGGCATGACATTTGCAGTCTGGACCTACCTCAAGTTCTCAGCTACCATTTGCCTGCCCTTGAGATGCCTCACTATTTCGATCACATCTACACCCCGCCACATTTGTGATGAGCTCATCAGAGCTGCTCCCTTTGGTGTGAGACATTGAGCCGCTCAGGACGTGCCCCTGCTCTGGCACACCTCACACGGCACAAGGACAGCCATGAGGACTTGGTCCACATGGTGAGTTGGACAAATGCTTTGTGCTGCGCAGGGCATGGGGATGTGCCATGCCTTGGGCAGACATTGCCTCCTCAGGCTGTCAAGTCTCCAGCAAGTACATTTTTTGAGGACACACACATTACTTAGCCAGGGTCTGGAGAGAAGGTGCCCTCCATCCACCCTGTTCTCAGGTGCTGCCAGGTGACCACGCAGAGCTGAGATGGCTCCTGGGTTGTTGTCACTGAACTTATCCCCACGTGTCTGCTCACGGGCTTTGCCTTGGCTGGCTGTCTTGATTTAGAGGGGACAAAAAATAAGAAGTGCTGAGAGCAGACCTCAGCTCCTAGCCAAAGGAGCCAAATGGGCTTGAGTCACCACTTCCAGATCCAGAGCTTAACACCCAGAAGGCTTGGATGGCACAGATGCAAGCATAGTTTTGATTCAAGGCTCTGAAGGGGACCAGGTAATTCTTGGCCCTGTTACTAGATGATAATCAGCATCTCAAGACAATACATGGTGCTGTGAACTGAAACGTTTACTTTATATATGTGAATATAACATGAAAAAACAGTAAAGCACAGCAAACCTAGGAAGACTTCTCTGTGATAAAGAAGACCCCTGTTTCTGTCTGTGCCTTTGGAAGGATCCAGAGACAGAAGGAGGACCTGGCTGGCAGCAAGGGCAGGTAACAGATCCTGCCTGGTAACAGGATCTACTGCTGGGTCACTGAGGTTTCTGTAAATGTGTGTGTGTGTGTGTGTGTTTGTATTGGGGCTGGAATTTCAGCCTCACATACAAAGAAAGAATTCCTTATGGTCACTAATGGCTGTGACTTCGGGGCTGTTAATGGGTGTCTCTTCTGTTTGCAGTGTGCATGTACAGAGAGCCATCGCTGCATGAAATTGGAGAAAAACAAGGACGCTCAAGGAAAAGTTCAGGGACACCAACCATGAATGGAGGCAAAGTTGTTAACCAAGACTCGACATAGCTGACAAATACCCTCCCTTCTTCCAACTCCTCCCCTCCCACCCACCTACCCACCCCACCTGGCGAAACCACACTGAGACAACGACACCTGAGCAAGGCAGGACCTACCGGTAGTGGCTAGGAGTCCGAACTCCAGAATCTTTCTTTGTGTAGGACGAGGAAATCGAACCCCAGATCCTGCCTGTTGCAACGTTTTAAAAAACAAAAACAACAAAAAAAAAACAAAAGTGAAGAAAAAAAATGTTTTAAATCAGGACTCCATTAACATTTTCAAAAGCAAACTGTTTGCTCTGTGATCAAAGCGGGAAAAATATCTCATCTCTGCATAATAATAATAACAACTAATAAATATAATTATAATTATAATAAAGATGTTACCTTTAAAAATAAAACAAAGCTTTTGGAAAATTGAACTTAGCATATGATGTGTGAGAAACACGTGGGAAACTGGGACTGTGCTTTCTGTCTTAGACTTTCACCTCACGTTCACACCACTGTTTTTTCCATCCCTGCCTCCCTGGGGATGGATGGGATTTTCACAAAGCAGGAGAGGTAGGGATGGATTATGACTGTGTTTTGCTCTGCTATCAATAAAATATGGCCTGTCTGAATTAGGAGTCTGACAGTTATGGGCAACAAACTAGCTACTCGGTATTCAGCTTTTTCCATCTACATTCAAGCACTGCGTAGTTATTTGTTGCTAGTGTCACTGTGTGGGAATGTTTGACCCAAGTCTGGCATTTTATGCCTTTTTGTCATAATTATTTATATTTATAGGCTTGTTTTACTGTATTAGTTGCCAGGGAATTTCAGAAATGGGTTTTCAGGTCTCGCAGGATGAAGTGATCATATTTATTAGGGAAGAGTTAGAAGCTAAAGGGAAGGAGGGATGGCTGCTTGCTTTGAAATACAAAATGGAGCAAGAAACGCTACTGAAATCCTTGCTGTCAGATGGAAACGATGAGGCATGTGCTATGTGAGGGGGTGGCAGGGATTTCAGCGACAGGAAGCGGGGAGGGAGTAGGTGGGGTGTGCAGAGGAGGGGACCACTGCAAGGGAACGGGGGTGGTTGTGCATGCCCAGCTGTGCCAGGGCGAGGAGATGCTGCCAATGGTGCTCTCCCTGCACGCTAAGGCTCCACACACATCTCATTTTACACATGGTCAAAGACGAGACTAAAAACCCCTCTTAAGCCAAAGCCTTACTGCTGCCAAGCCCATTACGGGATGAGAACCCCGAGATGTTGCAGGAAGCTGGGTATGGGCTGAGGGTATGTGTTTTGTGGGCGCCGGGGCTGTGGATGCTGGAAAAGCACTTCAGAGGTAACGAATTCACAGCTAGGGAACGGCAAGGAAGAGCCCACCTGCAGCAACTAGGGCATTAAGCAGGGATTTGCACAGCCCTCCCTGCCTGGAGCTTTCTCTCCTTGAAGTTGAGGGGGTGTGGGGGTGTCAGTGGTGAACCACACACCCTCGCTGCCAAGGCTGCTACCGAAACAGGGCAATACAGGCAGATGCCCTTTCTCTGCCCACACACAACAACTTCAATTTCTGACCTCTTTCGGCACCAGGGCCCACAGGCAGGAGCAGCAAGTCGTAGAGGTGCTACAATTGCTCCTACAAAAACAGGCACTGCCCCGGCTGAGGTGACCGGGAAGTTTTGGCTCATCAGGCTGTGGTTGTAACTCCTTTGAGAGGTGAAAAGTAAAATGAATACACAAATGCCCAAGGGCCTGGAGAGGGGTAATGGGTCAGAACAGCTTGTTGTATGAGGGACAAACAGCCTAAAGCCTGGCTGTTACAAGCCAGGTGGGAGCATTTGTGTCATTCATAAGTTACGAGCATACATGAAATAACCAAATACCACCTTAATGTGTGGTTGTAACTCCTTTGAGAGGTGAAAAGTAAAATGAATACACAAATGCCCAAGGGCCTGGAGAGGGGTAATGGGTCAGAACAGCTTGTTGTATGAGGGACAAACAGCCTAAAGCCTGGCTGTTACAAGCCAGGTGGGAGCATTTGTGTCATTCATAAGTTACGAGCATACATGAAATAACCAAATACCACCTTAATGCTTGAGGCTTCTTTGCTATCACAGACAAAGACTCAGCCACCGGCTACAAACCGGCACAATAC